GATGAGAATTTTCTGCTGCTTAGTTTTATGTAGTCTTCTAGTGATATCTTCAGCTGATTTTTAGGGAGAGGACTTTCTACTTTTTAACTTCCAGGAGTTATCATTTCCAGTAATGCTTATGTGGGGGTTGTTCTTGTGAGTGGCTAAACACCTATAACTAAGAATTAAAGTTGTTACTGTATTACAGGATCCCAACTTTTGGAGGAGTGGTTGACTGGGATCTACTTCTGAAACTAGGCATTCCAGTTTGTTTAAAGAAACACACAAATAAAAGAAACTATTGGCAGAGTGCACAGATCTGTTTATATAGATGTGGGATTCAATATGTCTTTTCTTCCAAACTTGCCTTGAATTCAGAACAATGTCTCCATCTTTTTAAAGCTGGTACTAGTTTTGGTAAAGCTTATAGCTAAATGGAAATAAACCTAAGCATAGAAATGTCAGTGAGATCTTCTAATTGCAATAGAAGACTATGACTATGGGGCACTGTCGAGAGATGCATTGCACTAAAAATAAGAGCTTATTACCTCATTTCCTTCATGTATTAATGCAGTTATATTGCCTCTGGGTCCTATACTAGTGTATGGTATCGCTGAACTGTGCTGCCTTGTGCCATAAGGACATATGCATACATACTCTTGAGTAAAGGACAACTCTCATTTACAGTTAAGTCTCTTGCACCTGATTCTGGGGTGCAAGAATCTTACTTTTACAAATGCATTGTTACACAGAATGGGGTGATGTCTTAAGATGCTGAATTCATGATCTTGGATTTAAGTCCTTTCTCTTGCTTATTAGATTACTTATTTCACTTTATTTTTGTTACCTGATATACAGAAGATATTTCTTTAGCTTTATCACTTAGACCAAAAAATGACTTTAGTTTTTATTTGTCTAGTGAGCTGTGTAGAAAAAATACCTCATACTTTCTAGTTGGGACTTTTAATTGGTTATCGTGAAGCTGACGAATATTTAAATTCTGGGAAAGAAATGATGACAGAAAGGTCAACATGTAGCCTCCTTTTGAGAAGCCAGCCTCCTTTTCTTCCAGGTTTTAGGAATTGCAAACTTACTAGGATTTGTGCCAAACTACTTTCAGGGGTTTGTCTGTGGGATCCTTTTTACATTAAAAGGTAGGTGAATGATTGTTAATAGCCAAGTAGCTCAGAGGACAGAATTTAAAGGGAAGGGAGTTTGTTCAGTTTTGTGCGTACTTTTCCTCCCAACTTCAGTTCATTACCTTTTGGTTAGGGTTGTGGGTTCTAGCATAACTATATCCCTTTCAAGGTATGTAGCTGCTGCAAGGAATAAAATCTTCACTTTAAAGGAGCTAAAACAAACATTTTTCCCATGCCTTCCATCTCCCTCTTCCAGCCTTCAGACAGAGGTGGGTGGTAGTCTTGTTCTGTCTATCCTTCAGGGACTGTTTTAGGGATGTTCCTTTTGTGTGGCTGCCTCTGTTACTTGCTTCTGCAGCAGTTGCTCTCCTAAGTTTTCCAAGAAGGAGCAGAGTGAAATGGGTATTACTTTCCTAGCTAGTCTCACTACTTTGTTGATTTTTGAATCAACAGAGGAGAGGTTGAGGGGGACCTGCATCTCTTCAGCCTCCATCAGAGAAGGCTAAGAGGGGATTTGGTGGCCGTCTGCAAATTTGTCTGGGTGGGGGCAGGCATCAAGGAATAGGAGATGCTCTGTTTACCAAGGCACCCCTTGGAGTAACTAGAAACAGTGGCCCCAAACTGACAGAAAGCAGGTTTAGACTAGACTTCAGGAAGAACCTCTTTACGGTGAGGGTTACCAGAATCTGGAATGGGCTTCCAAGGGAGGTGGTGCTCTCCCCTACCTTGGAGATCTTTCAGAAGAGACTGGACAAACACCTGGCTGGAGTCTTTTTCCCCCAGTACTCTTTCCTGCCTGGGGCAGGGGGTCACACTCGATCTGGTGAGGTCTCTTTCGACCCTGAAAATCTATGAACGGCTGTATCCCAAACTAACTACAAATGCTTTTTTCCACTTTTTAAAAAAGCTTGGCAGAGTTATAAAAGAAGCAGATGTTCTGGAGGTGCCTGCACACGTTGTGTCAAATGTATAGATTTTCAGGTCCGAATGGAACTTCAGCACACAGTTTGACAGTTTAAGTAATGTGTGGCATAAAATGTCACCCAGTAATTCTCGTTTTAAGCCTTTTATCAAGTATTCTTTTCAGAAAGACATCTGATCTTGAATTAAGAACTTCAAATGGAGAAGCTACCCCTGCTTAAGCAAGTTGTTTTAATACCTTTTTTATTGTTAAAAATTTGTCTTGCTGAAGCTAGACAGATTAAAAGTTTCTTGCTGTCATGTCTTATTATGTTTTGATTATAGTCTTTTGCTGTCAGAAACCTTTGTGTCATGTAGCTGCTTATTGATGGAAATCAGTTAACGTCTAAATCTTCTCTTGGGTGAATTAAATAGATTGAGGACATAGACAGGTGTAACTTGGGCCAGATTTGACTATCTTGGGGTATCTGCATACAGTAGGTGGTTTATACTGTGCTATCTGTTGCTATTTTAAAAAAATATGTCAGTTACTCTGGTGTAAATGTGTTATCTGTCCATCTTCACAAAGGGCTTCAGAAATGATTTTGGGAACTATAGACCAGTGAGTCTAAACTGAAGAAATCAGCAGTCACATGGATTAATATAATCTGGTGCGGAAGTCAGCGTAGCTTTTGTAAAAGGATATCCTGTCTCCAATCTGCAGGATTTTTTGAGGGTGTTAAAAAGAATGTGGGCAAGGGAGATCCAGTTGACACAATATATTTGGATTTTCAGAAAGCTTTTGACAAGGTCCCTCACCAAAGGCTTTAAAAAAA